ATAGAATGTTATCAACATGGAATAATGTATATTTTCAATCTGCTCAGGTAATAATGGCATCGTAAAAGGAAGAACAACAGAAAAATGAGCTTTTAGGAACTGGTGAATAATAGAAAAGAGTGAAAATATTATCTCAAAGAATAAGAGATAGGCTCCAGGTTCTTAAATCACTCTGCTTCTGTACTTTATATCTTTAGCTTGTTTATCATCATCTGCACTTTAGCTGCAGTAACAAGTGTGCTCTGAAAAATCCATGGATGTGGTCTTATTGCCCAGGGACAATCATGCTTTCTGTTCAGGTGGGCTGTTAGGATCATGTTTAGTCTGGTGGTATTTTTATCCTCTTTTTTTAATCTTAGTTATTTATTTTTATTAGGCTAGTACTTGAAGCCTCAATTTTGACCACGCTGTATTTATCCAATATATGGAAAGCTGCAGCATTAGTCCTTGCTTTAAGGAACTTAGATGTAAATATGATAATGTGAATGTCTCTATTTTTAAAATCTTTTAAATTAAGCCAAGTTTTTCAAGGACAGCCCAGCTTTTTTACAGAAGTGCACAGACTGGTAAGTGCACTCTGCCCTATTCCACTCTAAAGCCACAGATGTTTAGGCTGGTGCTTCTGGTCTTCTTGGACACAATCTGACTTTTATTTACACACACACACACACACACACACACCACCAGTTTTACCTGCAAAGAAAATCTTGCAAATGCTTGGGTCTCCAGCCAGCCTGACAGTGTGCCTGCTCTCAGCAGTTGTCTGTGCTAAAGAAAGAAGAAATTCCTGCTCAGGAGGCAAAGGCCTGTTCCACCTCCCCCAGTCCAAACTGGATGGAGAAAAGGGGCATCCACCAGAAGGTGCAACTTCAGCCCCATTTATACATAGCATTCATTTTAGCAGTCCTATTTTTGGGAAGAAAAATTCACAATAAGAACTCCTGAAGCTCTCAGAGTGATGCTACATTAGAGCCTGGTGCTGCCTTACAATGGCTTTCAAGTTCATGTGCAGATTTTCCTTTGCAAAGTTACCAGAACATGCCACAAATCCCAGTTATACCTGAGTTTCCTAGACCTCGAGAGCCACTTCTGCTAATATCTGCTGGCTGTTGGGATCTTGCTTCTTTTGAAATTCTGTTAAAGATGAGGCTAATAATCTCCTGCAGCTTGTCTGTCACAGCATTTGGTATCAACTTAATTATGCAAATGTACAATTCTAGAATAATGCAGGATCCAGGCCAAGCCTCTTTTAATTAGATGTTTGGGTGTATTATTCTGTATCTCAGGAAGGTTGTCTTCAGGAAAGGGAGTAATTAGAAGCCTTCACGGTGCGTGGGTCTGACCTGTTCCTTAGGCTGGAGCTTGGCCTCGTGTCGAGGTCACCACCTCCTGGGGACTCGTCTCATTAGCACTCGGCAGGGTGCAGTCCCGCCCGGCTCTGCCGCTGGCCTTCCAAGAATTCTGCTTTGAGTCGCCTTCAACAATGCTAAATGTAAGCTGATTAAACAAACACTTCACTGGACCATGCAAGTCTTGGGTTTGTTTAGATCTGCCTGTTTTCTTTTGCTGGAAGATTTTTAAATGAGGCGTAATGTATATAAAAATTGCTGGGTTAAATCTCTCAGAAATACATCCTTGAAGCTGGGCACTTAAATTCTCATGTAGCAGGCTGACTTCCCCCTCGTCCCACTCTGATCTCTGGAAGTGTATTGACACTGGGGACGTGGCAGAGGGATCCTGGAGATGCCATCTTGGGTCAGTGCTGGATGTTGGCTCTTCAAAGTCAAGACACCAGAGGAGTTGGGCTTGTTCAGTCTCAGGAAGGCTGAGAGGGGATCAAATCAGTGTCTATAAGGACTGAAGGGAGGGTGTCAAGAGAACGGACCAGGCTCTGCTCTGGAGTGTGAAGCAATAGGACAAGAGGCAATGGCAGAAACTGATGGCCAGGAAGTTGCACCTGAATGTAAGGAAGAACTTCTCCACTGTGCAGTGACCCAGCACTAGATCAGGTTGCCCAGAGAAGGTGTGGAGTGTCCCCTCACCAGAGATATTCCAGAACCCTCTGGACACAATCCTATGCCATGTGCTCTGGGCTGATCCTGCCTGAGCAGGGAGGTTGGACCAGATGCCCCACAGTGGTCCCTTCCCACCTGACCTATTCTGAGATCTTTGTTACCAATGCTTTGTTACAAAATACTTGTTTCTGCTATAATATCCAATTGGCTCATTACATTTAGTGGGTCTTGGTTTGCCTGCATGGAGTGCCTTTGGTTTGGTTGTTTTGTTTTTTGTTTTTTTTTTTTTTTTTTAAGTATTTTAGACAAACTGAAAACTGAGGGAAAATGGACTGGCTGAGGACACATAACCTGCCTTTGGTGAGAGATGAGTATGAAAACCAACCAAGGCCATGCAGTGCCTTTCTACAACGTATTTATTACTACTAGGAAGCTCATCTGTGTCCCAGTGCTGCTTTCAGCCTTGCCCTTGCCCCAAAGCCTGGGTCAGCTGAGGAGAACTTTGTTTTCCTCTCGTTACTGTAGTCACCGGGTGCGCAGGGAGCTGTGGTTCAGCCCCGGCTGCGGGATCCCTGTTCCCGTTCCCGGGAGCCGAGGCTCGGAGCCGCCTCTCTCCCTTCACTCTTTCCCTCCTGGAGCCCCGGAGCTCTCCCTCGTCCCGCAGCGCCCGGCCCGGGCCGGCTGCCTGCGCCCTGCCCTGCTCTCCTCTCCTTCCCTCCTCGTGTCCCTGTGCTGCCGTCCCCACTCACCGTGTGCGGCGCAGCTCTCCGCATCTCCTGCCTGCTGACGGACCCTGCCTGGATTACTACTTTCTGATAGTTGGCTAAAAAGAAGAAATAAGAATAGCTTGGGAGAGAAGTTTGCTTAAATCAATGTAGTAAGTTAGATGGAGTTTTGGTATTTTAGTCATTGGGCCTTTAGTTCCTCCAAAGTGGTGATGAATTGGAATCACAGGTTTTGAAGCCAGAGACGACCTCTGAAAAGATTTTTGTATTCAAGTAAGGCCTTAATCTTGATTCTTATCTCAGTACTGTGTGTGATGTATATAATTGTCATCTATAGCAGGTTAATTTATTAGTTTTTCCCTTGTTATAGGCAGATCTTGAGATTGGGGTAAAATAAAAAAAAATGTTTTTAAAAGAAATTAGGAAGCCTGAATCATGTATTAATGAGGCCTTCTCCCAAGGTGCTTAGGTAATACATTCTCAGTCTCTCTCAAATTAATTACGTTCTAATAATCCTTGTAAAGTACCTTCCTTACAGATGTTGCTCTAACTTATTAAATCCTGTGATGCATCATCAGTTTTGGTGGTATCAGCTGGAGCAAAGGGCTCTGAACAGTGCAGAGCACTAGGCACAGCTTAGGAACTGATTATGAAAAGGAATTTTTAATTATCCTGCTGTGTCTTTCCATGTAGAATTTTACACTTCCAGCAGACAGTATTCTCTGAGGTTTCATACCATAAAGTGTTTATTAGTTGTTTATGTTTGGACTTTTGTGCAGGGCTTACCGGTGTATGCATTAGTGCCAGTTCATATTTGTCTTGCTCTTACACACAGCTGGAGTGCCCCAGCAGCTTCCTGCATGTTCTGCTCTGTTACCAGTCACTGCCATGTGGGAATGGGGCCCCAGTTTTTTTGAGTCCCATATCAGAATTGTTCACCCCTCCTCCCCTCAGCAAAGTGACTTTTCACGTAGGATTGAACTGCTATTTTCCTAATCTCTTGAAGAAATCTTTCTTGGCACGTTCAGTAGGTCACTATGAAAAATGTGCTTTTCCATTTGGCAGGCAGACTGGGAAGCTGGGGGAAGGGGAAGCAGAGAGGAAGACAAGGACTCATTCCATTCAGGGATCAGAGTGAAATCAGCACTTTGCTTTCCTTAGAAGATCCAGCAAAAGCCAGCACTTTGTTCTGGTGCAGCCATCCCTTTTCCCCTCAGACCTGCAGTGGATGAAGCTCACCAGGCTGCAGCAGTGAGGGCCATTGCACCCAGCCTTTATCCCAAGGTTTGGGGGGCAGTAGACAGGAGATGAAAGGAGGGCATGAGGATACCCTTGTCCAAGGCTGAGGAGCCTGGTTTGAGGCCTTCCCCAAGGACATTGAGCTGTCAGAGCAAGTGAAAAGAGGAACAGGAGGGTTTGGCTGGGTAGTGGGGCTGCCCCCCTCTGAGGGAGAGGGTCAGGCAAAGGCTGAGCTTCAGCTGCTCTTGTGCTCCTTGAAGGAGGATTGGTGGGTTCTCCTGACCCAGAGCTGCTGGAGAGCTGAGAACCAGCCCCAAAATTGTTCTCCAGGCAGCTTCATCAGGTAGGGTTTCAGAGCTGAGATTGTTTCCCTGTCTCACCCCTGCAAACACAGAAGAAACACATGGTGGAGGGTTCAGAATTGAACCCTTTTTGTGAGTAAGGCTCAGATTTTTTGGCTGTTGTAAAAACAAGAGAGGTGGTGCATACCTTCAGCAGCCTCTGTGGAAGGCACTTGCCCATCTGGAAAACAATTTGGCTCCCCCAGCCACAGTGGGGGCTGGAGAGGGTTAAGGTTTCTGCATCACTCCCTAAGCAGCCCTTACTCTCCACTTGCTCTGCAAGGTTTCACATCCCCAGTCCTCTGTCACCTTCACACAGAGCTGCAGATGCCCCCTGGATTTTCTCCAGCAGATTGGAGCAGGGCTGGGGCTGAGAGCTGCCCCAGCCAGCAGTGATGGCACTGCAAGAGGAAAGCCTCCCCGTGCTGCTGCTCACTGCCCTGAGAGGGAGCAGCGTGCAGGGACAGCACTGGGGGTCCTGCCACCAGCGAGGAGGGGCAGTGGGGCAGGCACTGGGCTGTGCTGCAGCAGCAGCCCCAGGATCTTCAGCTGGGGTGGGAACAGGGGACCCTGCTCATGGGAGCTGCTTCCAGCCACAAACCAAACCCTGATGAATTTGCTGAGTTCCAGGGTTTTCCTGTCCCGGCAAACTCCCTGTTCTTCACAGGCAGGAAGGCAGATGACTGCCTGCCCCTGCCCTGTAGCAAGGAGTTGATGAATCATTTCCTTTTCCATATTTTAGTGAAATTGTGTTGTTCAGAGCTCATCTAGAGCATTTTAATGCTTTGAGCACTTGCACTCTTCACTCTCTTCCTGCAATTGTCTGAAGGCTGGATTTTGTTTTTGCATGCTTCCCAACAGCAGTTGTTACTTGCTCAAAGTGTTGCAGGTAGGTGCAAAATAATTTTTTTTCTCATTTTCTAGACTTTTTTTTTTTCATTTTTATTGTACATAGGTGTCAGTGTATACTTTAAAGCATGAATGTGAGTTTCTACCAGTGAGAGAGATCTCCCTAAAGGAAACCAAGGCACTGCTGCTTATACCTTTAGACCTCGGAGATTTTACTTAGTTGAATATAAAGTTAGGGTCATATTAAAAAAATAGTTCAGAATTTTGAATAACAGACTTACTAATGCTGGGATTTCTTAACAGTGAACCACTGCTTTGTATGCTTAGCTGTTTGAGAAGGAAGTTGGCATGTCAGCAGAGAGAAATGTGCTGCCCTTAATTAGATGGAGCTGGACACATCACCAGAGGCCCCAGTTTTGATTTACAAACTGGCTACAGTGGGGGCAGCTCTGTATAGGAAGTGGATTTGGCTTGACCTGTATTGTGCTGCTGCTGGGCTGGAAAATAGGGAGATGAAGGGACAGTGTGATTTATTGTCCACACTAGAAGAGACCTGGAAAGGAGTGTATTTTCAGCATTCCTATTGTAGCTTATGCAGTAAGCTAAGTATCAACATGTAAACCCAAGGAGCAAGAAAAAAAATCCTTGGACTTTGATTAAGGCTGCTGTTACATGAGTATCTCAGAAAAAAAAAAATATAAAGGAGAAAAAAGCAGCAAAGGGGACACTGAAAATGGGAAGCCTAGTATCCAGCTTCTATGGGTGATGTACAATAACCCAGGACCTGGTTTCCTGGCAGTTAGGCAGCAAGTTACATGTGTTGTGAAGGGTGTAATTACGAGTTAAGGTTTTTCCCAAAGCTCCTCTTTCCTGATTTATATCTGCCCTTATTGTTATCTGTTACATTCACATGGTTGGTCTTTTTTATTTTGTAATTTTGTTTTCCTTCCTTGTTTTCAAAGAATAGCTTATCTGTGTGCCCCAGCAGGGTGGGACTCACAGAGATCACAGGCTTTTTACAATGAGCCAAAGCCAGCCTGCTGACTACAAGGAAATTTGCTGAGGGTTTCGGCCACGAGTGCCACATGGGCTTTGCAAAAGGCAGTGATTGCACTGGTGGGACTCGGCTGGAGTCCGGAGCGGCCACTTCCACTGCCAGGAGACCGGTGAGCATCGCCTCACCCTGGAAAATCGCTGCTTGTGTTCCAGTGCTGTGCATCTCCGCGGTGCTTGTGCTGTGGCCGGCAGGAGCAGCGGGTGCAGTGCTGCTCCTGCACACTTGGGTCGCAGGTAGGCAGTGACCAGAGCCCCGGAGCCGGGAGTGAGCCTGGAGCCGAGCCCCGCTGGGATGTGAGCTGGGACCGCTCTCTGCACCTGCCCCCTCTGCACCTTCGCTGTGCTTCAGCTGGTTACTGCAAAGCCTGTAGGAGCCCGAGCTCGTTCTGTTCGAGGCTGCGAATACACCCTTGTGTTCCCGAGGCAAAGAGTAAAAGGAAGGCGCCAATTCGTCTGTTTTAATCTTTTGCCTGGAGTCTTTGCAATGGATGATGGAGCAGAGTCTCTGATGACTGTGCATCTGCTCACCCATTTGGGACAGTCATTTCCTCTGCAGCAGACTCTGGACCGGCTTTTGGACTGGCTGTGCCTGGACATTCGCCTTTTCTTGGTGTCTGAGCGAATTCCTCCCCTGAAGTACTACGAGAGATACCACAAGAGGAGCTGCAGCTTTCCCGGAATATCCGTCCTGCTTTTTCTGCACGAGGACTTGGGAGAAGAACGGATTTTCCAGGTCCACGAGCAATTCCAGCGCCCTCCCTGGCGGTACCAGCGTGCCCAGTTTGCTAACGGGCAAAGCTCCCCCTATGCCCCATCCCACCAGGACTTCTACGGCCTGGATGAGCAGCTGCCCGTGTGGGGCATCCGCCGGGTGCGCTGCGGCCCCGAAATCCTGCGGGTCACCCTCTACTGCAGCTTTGAGAACTACGAGGATGCGGTGAGGCTCTACGAGATGATCCTCCAGAAGGAAGCCACCCTGCAGAAAAGCACTCTGTGTGTCTTCGTGCTGCACGCCACCCCACACGTGGCCGTGCAGCTGTGCCTGAAGCAGCTGCCCATGGGGGTGACGGCCGAGCCCCCCGACTCGTCAGCCCTGCAGTTCAAGGTGCAGGAAATCGGGCAGCTGGTGCCCCTCCTGCCCAACCCCTGCGTTCCCATCAGCAGCACCAGGTGGCAAACTCAGGACTATGAAGGGAATACAATTCTGCTCAAGGTATGTCTGTGGTGCTCTCAAGAGGAGGGTTTATCTACTTTTTTTCCAAGGAAAGTAGGTCTGGTTCAAAATGGAAATTATGATTTTGTTTGTTCATGTTTCTTTTGAATTTGTGAATGCAGTAATCGGTGTCTGCCAGTGCTGTGATGCTGTTGATAAATATAAGCACTGATCCTTGGAATGTTTTTATACAGTTAAATTAACGTCATTACTGTTTGCCTGAAATGCAGACTATTAATGATTTCATGATTTCTAGGGCACACTAGCTTAACATCTTCCCTCCTCTGCCTCAAAAAAAATGATTGCAGCAGCCTAATCTTTTTCTGATATGACATTGCTGCATAAATGTTTTTCAAAGCATATTTTTGGCATCCAAAACCAGAAGTTTTGTAAGTGTAATGTTGATGCAGCACTGCCTGCAATTGAGGTTGTGAGATCACAAGTGAGTTTGTAGTTGGGCAAAAGTGATAAAGAGCTGTGTCCTAGGAAATCTCTGCCTTGTCTGTTGAAGTGTGCAGTCCAGAGGTTATATGAAAAAAAAAAAAAAAAAAAAAAAAAAGACAAAGTCTGTGGTGAGATCATATGTAGTGACAATTGCACATGTGAGTAGAATGGAAGCTTGGCGCAGTGTGCTTTCTTTCCATCCTAATAACCCCTCCCACCTCTGGTTATTATTTCTTGTAATTTAGATTTTAAATTTTTTGCTCTAGCTTTTTCCTCCCAGAAATCCTCTGTTAGAGGTAGACTTAATTACTTGGTTCAGCCTATTTGTATGCTGCTCTGAACACTAATCCTAGGGCAGCCCTTGCTGCCTCATTCAATATCAATTTATAAACTGGTTTTCACCCTCTTGCAGTGGTCAAGGCCCTAGGTATCTTAATGTAGCTTTGAAGCTGGTCCTACCTGCAGCAGGGGACTGGGCCAGTTGACCTCCAAAGGTCCCTTCCTAAATTAGTCTGTGGCTCTTCCTGCTATAGAGACAAGGTCTTTGAGCTGACAGATGTACATGTATTCACTGGTAGGAAACTTAGAAGCTTTTTTGGGGATGTGACCATGCTGCACTGTGCTTCTCAAAAAGGAAGGTGTAATCCACTTGAACTTGAGGATGTATCTCGTGTCCAAGCTGCAGACAGCAGGCTGACAGTCAGAGCTTTATTCTGCAACTCTTCAGCCCATACTGTAAATCTTTGTTTTGAGTACCTGCAATTTACCTCCCTGCCCTGACCTTCTGCCATATTGCAAACTAAATCCCAGGCTCTGCTCACAGACTCCACATGGAGTTGGCATTTCCCCCCGAAGCCCCTTGTGGTAACTGGCAGTGGCTCTCCTTTCCAAGTGTCTATCTAGGTTCCTCTGGAATGTATATGGATTTTTTTTGTATCCACAACCTGCTTTGGCAGGGATTTGCCCAGGTGTGCTGACTCAGGCTGCAGGCGACCCCAGCACAGCGGGGCTGGGCGCGAGTACCGAGTACCGTCATTAATCAAGCTAGGAGTGTGTGATAACCGGGTTCTCTCCCATTTCCAACAGGTTCAAAGCAGCTCCAGGACCCTTGAAACAAACATCGGGCTTTGCCAGCAGCGTAACAAGGCAGGCAGTGGAAGAATCCCGCAGGACTGTATGCCAGCCCCCCGCCCTGTAAAACACGGCAATCCTGGGCGGGGAAGCCAGGCTGTCGGAGCTCCGAAGGGTAAACCGCAGCGTGACCCAGGTGAAGCGCCTGTCTCTGAGCAGGGCAGCAGTGACCTCCAGAGGCTCCTGCGCGCCCCGCCCGGTGCCGCGGCAGCCCGGCCGTGCTGGGAGGCGCCGTCGCTCCGCAGGCGGGCGGGCGGGGGGCTGCGGGCTCCTCTGCCGGAGAGCCGCGGGCCCCGGGCCGCCGACACCGACGTGGACACCGGGCTCGCCGTGGGGAGCGCCGGGAGCGGCCGCTGCCCGCCGGGCCGGTTCCCCGGGGCCCCGCGGAGCCGCCTCCTGCCGCGGGCCGCCCCGGGGCTGCGAGCCGGCAGCGGCGGAGCGGCGCACGGGGCTCCGGGCAGCGCCCCGCCAGCACCGCCGGGGACAGCGGGGCACGAGCAGCGCGAGTTCTTCATATGATGAAACCGAACGTGCCTGGTGGACTCGTCCTTGCCGAAGGACAGCGGAGCGCTTTTGGATGTGCCGGGACTGCTGCTGCTCAGCGTGTGCCTCTGCCGCTGTGACATCCCGCTAGGGGTCACTGAGGCAGACACTGAATTTCCATGGAGAGATGCTAAGGAGGCTACAGGAAAAATAACGCTATTTACAGAAAACTGTTGTGTTGGTTTGGTTTTTTTAACGCAGAATAGGTGAGGGGTATGTTGTGCAATGAATAGGAATAAGCCATGTGACGCCTACAGCTGTTCTAAGAAGCTAAAAAATAGACAGTGACATCTTCAGATGAGTTTTGAAGGTGCAGCTTGGCTGAGCTGCCCAAGCAGCTGGATGCCCCCAGCCGTGGGGACTCACCATCCCTTGCTAGCACTTACTGGAACAAGCTCCTGGCATGGTCACAGTGGGCCTGCTGATTTTCCTTTGTGTTCCTTCTTGCTTTCCCTGTTGTTGGTAATTAAATCTATCAATGTTGTCAATTTTATGCAATATTTGAAACATAAGAATATTCTATTACATATTTCTCAGGAGAAATACTTCTAGCAAGACCTTTTTCTCAACTCAGCACAGTACATGCAAAAACCACATACTTGAAAAGAAGTGCCAGTAAAACCTGCCGCTGCCTATTCATGTAACACTTAAAATAAACACAGCAAGCGTGCTGTAATCCATAAAATTTTAATTGGCCAAAACCTTGGGCTGAACAAATTATTCGCCAAACCTATAACATCCCGTCCGTGTGTCCCTGTCCCTCTCCCATCCGTGTGTCCCTGTCCCCCTCGGGAGCAGCAGCGCAGGGGTCTCGGGGGCTGCGTGCAGGCACAGCTGCGATCCGAGCTCGGGGTCTTGGTCGCTCTTCCAGCATAGTCCCAGGGTCACTCTGCCCCTCTCCTCCTGCCCTGCGCAGCCCGAGCGGTCCCCAGGGTCCCTCGGGGTGGGTGATGCTGCTCCTATGGCTGCACTGCTCCACAGAAAGCCGGGAGCTGGCCAGAACCGGCCAGAACCAGCCCCAGCCAGGGGATCCATCTGCTCTCCTCTCCCCAGGCTTTGCCTTTCTGCAGATCTCCAAGCTCAGCCGTGATCCAGCATGTCTGAGCTACTTACGGAGCTTCAGTCCCTGTCCCCATCCTTCCAGCTATTGCGGCTTTTAATCCTCACTTTCATGAACATAAAATTAACCTGATAGATGAGGAAGCAGTAGAGGTATTAATAACAAAGAAAGCCCATTTCTTTCTCATTCATTAATTTTCTCTGACAATGAAGTAGTTAATTAAGGAGATCTGTTATGTAAGTGACAGGGGAAAATAGAGTTCTTAATGTGTTTTATTGTTTTGTGGCAGCCACAGTCACTGATGCTGTGCAATGTCATGTGCAGTGCTTACTGTGCATCTGCTGTGTGTAAGAATAGATACAGTACTGACAAGCTTGCTATAAAAATGTTTTGCTAAAAAATACTATGAATTCTCCCTTTTCATCAGTAGTTGAGCACTGAATGATTACTCTAGGACAGATGTGATGGAGCAGGGCAGGAATGAGGTGAGGAGTGGGACCTTTGCTTTGGCAGGGCAGAGCAGGAGCAGATACAGAGCGTTGCAGGTCGTGTCTGTCTCTCTGTGTGCCTCACTTGCAAAGTGAATTTTGAAGTCCAAAGGCCCTGAGGCTTTGCTTTTCTCTAATCAGGAACAGAAAACTTCTGCGGAAGCCAAAGTGAACCCAAAGGAGAGGTCCGAGCTGTGAGGGGGACACAGAGGGCCTGGGGTCTCCCTGTGGTACCCTGTATGTGTGGCACACATCCTTCTTTTCCCTCCCATCATTCCATGTAGGCTGGCAATCAGGAGAATTCTCTGCAGCCCCTTTTGCCCGTGGTGCTGCTGACCCTGCTCAGGGGAGGAAGGCCACTGCAGCCTGGAACTCCCTGCCTGTCCTTCCTGGCACCTCCTGCACACAAGCTCGGCTTTGCAGCAGCTGTTTGGGCCTCTGTGATGATGTAAGATCTTACTGCTGGATTTTGCTGAGTAAACCTCCAAATATTAGTCATGCCAGTCTGACAGACCAGCTGGGGTGGGACATGCAGGAGTGGAGCGCATAGGTGTTAGGGCAAGGGGCTAAGCTGGGATGGAGCTGCCCAGCCTGTGCACATTCCTATTGGAGCTCTGCTTTGTCCCCTTCTCAAGACAGTGTTTTCCTGCAAGGCTTGCCAGCACCTTTCTTTTGTCCTCAGGGAAGTGAAAACTCTTTTTTCCTTCAGTCTTCAGGAGTGTGAAGTAAGTGTGAAGGCACATCCCTGTCCCAGGGTGCTGCTTGCTCGTGGACAGCAGGGAACATGGGAGGAGACCTTGGCTGCAGAAGCTTCCTGAGGATGGGGTAGGATGCACAGGAATGGCCTGAGCACCCCTTGGGCCTCGGGAAGGAGCCTGGGGGATGATGTGTTTCCATCTGGCCACGTGCCTGCTGGCTGTATGCTGTCTCCCACCCTGCAGGGGCTCACTGTGCTGGAGGTACTCTGCTGCTCTGTAACCCCTGTGGCCATGCACCATGGAGGGAAACCAAACATCAGAGAACAAAAATGCCTTTTGCAAGAGCTGCCTGCAAGAATGTTCCTCTGGGTGATTGTTTTGTTGGACCTCTTTTCTGCCACGGGCAGGTGTGCCTGCAGCCTGGGCTTCAGCAGCAAGCTGTGTCCTGGAACTGTGCCCTTCTCACTGTTAGCTGCTCCCCATCAACTTTATTTTCAGGAAAAGTTGCTCATTTGCAATGCAATATCCTAAATTGAACACCCCAAATACTTAGTACCTCACTGAAGTGTCAGAGATATTCCCCCCCCCCCCAAACCCTAACAGCAATAATACAGAATACAAAATACAGCAGATGTTACAGTAAGAGCTTCTTTCCTGTTCCCATGTATTCATCTTCTTTAGGTGCAGAGGATGCACCTGATCAACCTGTACTAAAAATTCAATTATCCTATTTTTTAAAGAGAAACAGGGATCACACCCGAGTTTGGGAGGGTATCTGGAATGAAAAGTCAGTGTGCCAGGAAACAGAATGGATCTGTTGTCCCAGGCACTGCCAGGAGGCAGTTTTATCTTCCATGGAATTTCTCAACCTCCCCTTTCAGCAGACTCCTCCTGACAGCACAACTGCATTGCAGTTTGCTGTGCTGTGTTTCTGATGTTTAATTCTCATTATTTGAGAGAGGTTTTGAGAGGTCTTCATCTCCCATAGAGCACTTGTATTAATATTCCAGTTCAGGATCTCAGTTCTGCTGCTGATTGCAGGCAGGGACAGATCCAATTCCTATTAGGGTGTATTTATATTCTTTAAGAGTCCCATAAGCTTTCTTCTCCCCTATCACCCTTCTTCAGGCACTGGCAGCCTGGCTGTGCTGGGAGGTGATTAGGTTTGTAAATTTGTTCCTGCAGACACTCAGTGACACTGTTCATTTTCTCATCTCCCTCGTGCAACTGAAATTGTGACAGCCTCACTTCTTTAATTGGGATCATCTCCAGCAGCATCTCTGCATCAGAAGAAGCCTCACAGGGTGCAGGCCCAGAGGCACGGAGCAGGCAGGAGCTGCTGGGGCTCTGAGCTGCCACAGCTGGTGGAGATTGATCCTGGCTTCCCAAAACTGGAAGAGGATGTGAAATACCCTGACAACTGAGTGGAGGTGAAAGATGCTTGCTCTGAAGTAACCTACTCCCTGCTGGCCTCACTGGGTTTCAGCACCTTGGTGGGAAGAAAGAGGAGAAAGTCCCTCCTTGTACTCCTGCCTTAGGTTTGGCTCACTGCTGCTCTCTTGGGAGCGGTATGAGAGATGGAGGAATGATGAGGCATTCCCAGCCTCCCAGCCCTTCTAACAGTGTCCCTTGTGCCCTTGTGTCACTGTGCAGGGAGCTGCGATTGTCCTTGCTGGCTGTGGTGCTGCTTGCCCAGAGGCTACAGACACAGGAGGGCTGGCATCAGATTCCAGCTGGATCTGCCATGCTCATGGCCTTGACAGGAGTGCCTGGATTGGGAGCCCAGGCCATCAGTGCTCGTCCCTGATCCTTGCTCAGCTTCCCTCTCCTCCTGACAAGGAGTGACTGTGTGAGCAATTCACTCACAGGTGTTGGGCACACCCCTGAGCCATCCTGTCCCCTTGTTGCTCTTTGAACCTGAAGCTTCACCAGTGGATGATTGAAGTGGAAGTGTGGTTTGTGGCTTTGCTTTTGCTTTACCAGAATTGGCTTAAAATGCCCCAAGGATTCTCAATTAAAACAATAATTTAAAAAAAAAGATATTATACTAAAGGAAACTCCCAGGATAACACAAAAAAAAGCTGAGTGTGCAGTGAATAAAAAGGGAATGTCTTTTGGCCATTCCAGTGGCTGGAAGTTTTATTTCCAGTCTGGCAGCAGAACTAAGCAAGCAGATCTTGGTTGTGTTCCTGTCCCTCCCTTATTTGTTGGCCATGTTAGATAGAAGCATCCTCTCAGGATGACCACATGTGCTGGGAACAGCACCACCAGCAGCTTCCTTGGGATGCAGTGGTCTGAAACCGGTAATGGTCACTGGGGTGGGTGCACATAACTGGGATCAATAAATGGGTGTTATGAAACCTAGTGCTTAGATGAAATGCAGCACTTCTTGGCACTGATATTCCACTGCCCTGGGGGCTTCCATGTCCACTGGGCATAGTGGTTGTTGTGTGGCCTCTGTGGCCTCCAGCCAGCTCTTCAAGCTGTTGCTGCACTCTCCAGAAGTGAGTAGTTGGAAGGTGACTGATCAGGTTGTTTCTGCCACCACCAGAAGTGTCTTGATGGAGCAGATGTGCAGTGACACTGCCTGGGCTCCACTGAGGGTCCTACTGGGTCCCCACTGGCCTTGGTGGGGTGGTTTGGCCACCAGCTGGTTTCACTTGCAGGTTCAGTGGTTTCACACTGAGGAGGGCACTGGGCTCCCAGCTCTGCAGTCCAGCTCTCCAAAAT